CATTAAGAGTTCTGCTGGCATAACAGATTGGTTTATGATTTTGCGATAATACTGCTCCTATAGCAATATTACTTGCATCTGTTGTTAATGAAAATGGTTTTTCGAAATTTGGGTATATAAGTATTGGATCGGACATTATTAAAAGTTTAAGTTTTTCAAACGCTTGTACATAATCATTATCTTTTATATTTAAAGTTACGCCTTTTTTAAGCTTTGCTGTCATTGGTTTTGCTATTTTAGCAAAGTTTGGGATAAATTTCCTATAAAATCCACAAAGACCTAAAAAGGATTTTATTTGTTTTGGGGATTTGGGTATAGGGAAATTTTGTATTGCCTCTATTTTGAGAGGATTTGGTTTTATACCAGTTGTTGTTATAATATGTCCAAGGAATTCTGTTTCCTTTTTCATAAACTCGCATTTGTCGAGTTGAAGCTTGAGATTAGCTTCTCGTAATTTTTCAAATACCTTTCGCAAAGATAATACATGTTCCTCCAATGAAGTGGAGTACACGATAATATCGTCCATGTAGACCAAACAATCCTTGTAGATCAAATCTTCTAAGAGATTGTTCATGCACCTTTGAAAGGTAGCAGGGGCATTTTTCAATCCAAAGGGCATTCGAGTATATTCATAATGGCCATTTTTGGTGGAAAAAGCTGTCTTTGGAATAGAATTTTCATCCATTTGTATTTGGTGAAAACCTTTTGCAAGGTCAATAGTGGTAAAATATTGGCATCTACCAAGTTTGTCCAATATTTCATCCATGACCGGGATAGGGTATTTGTCATCTACCGTAATTTCATTTAAATTACGATAGTCAATTACGATACGGAACTTTTTTGTTCCAGATGCATCACCTTTCTTAGGTACTATCCAAATGGGTGAGCAATAAGGGGAATTTGACTTTCGAATTATTCCCTGTTTTATCATATCTCTCATTTGCGAATCGACTTCTTGGTCGTAAGCTTGAGGATATTTGTATGGTTTTTTGTAAACCGGTTGCTCATTTTTTGTATGAATGACATGCTTGATAGTACTAGTGAAAGTCAAATTGTCACTTTCTTTGTACTGTATGTCGCTAAATTCATATAAAATTTTCTTAAGATTATCTTTTTCCTCGTCATTAAGGTGTTCTAATCTAAACTTATTGGTTTCTTGCAAGTCGTTATTTATTGCAAAATTAAAAGGTGTATCTGTTGAAAATGGGGGATCGCAGCAATCAATTTCTGCTTCTCCTTGTTTATATTCGAAATCGTTATAATTAAATCTCATTCCGAATTGATAACCGTTTAAATTAACTGTTTTTGATTTATAATTAATAATTGCGTTACAAGCTTCGAGATATTCTCTTCCTATGAGCATATCATATCTATCGGAAAAATTATGGACCCAAAATGTTTGTTTGGTCGGACAAAGCTTACTTGCATGGTAGGACACGGATTTATTTAACTGAATATTACCATTTATGGTATGAACTTTAAGAGGTGTATTTTTGGTTGGAAAATTAAAGTAATTTTCTTTAATTAAATTAATAGAAGAGCCTGTGTCTACAACACATCGGAACTCTTGGTTATTCATGATGATTCGTATGTAAGGGTTTCTATTTCCTGTTCGGTGTCCGAGGCTTGTTGATGAAAATTTTCGGTATCCATTTTCATATGGCCACTCGTACTTTCGCGATTTCTTTTTATTGGTCGATTAGGAGCATTAACCCCATTTTGTTGTGATTGATAATTTATAGGATTCCTAACCTGATTATAATTTAATTTTTGTTGGAATTCTTGTTTTGTTGCTTTATATAATGGGTGGTTTTCATAAAAAGTTTCGTTGTTATTTTTATTATAATTAGGCTTATGTTGGCCTTGAGATGTACTATCCTGTTGCTTATATTGATTTGGGGAAATATTATTCTGCTGTCTGTATTGGTTTTGGGAATTATAGTTTTGTTGTTTATAAGTATTTTGTTGGGGTTGATAATTTCTGTTATCTTGGTTTTGACTTTGTGAATTCTTTGTTCGATCTGAATAAAATGTTTCATAACAACCTTCTTGTTGTGCTACACATTTTAGTTTATTAGCATTAGTAATATCATACCTAGCCAATGTCATAAAAAAGTCTGTCTGGCAATTTTTTCATAATAACATCTTTAACTGTATTATTAAGAGCATTTGTGTATAAAATTGTATTTGAAGCGTTATTTTCTAAGGCTAATTTATTTAATATTACAAAAGATTTGGACTCAATGTCCTCAACAAACTTACGTATACACCCAGGAAAGGGGGTGTTATACAGACGTCTTAGTAGTTCTTCGCAGGGCGTCTGGGTTTTATATTCGTTGATGAGGGCGTTCCTTAAATCCCTCCAGCATCTGGCTGTTGATAGTTGAGATATCCTCTGGGCATCTCCGTGAAGCTGCATTTCAATCGCACTGAAGAATACGCTCGACTGGCGTATACATGTTGTGGGGTACAACTCCAGGATGAAGTCTATCCTCCTGATGAACGGGCTGAGTTCGAGCGTGTTGCCTCCAAATTGCGGCACTTGCCTGATTTGGTTCAGGGCTTGATTTAGATGGTTTTCTGACAATAATAGCACTGGTTCTGCCATTTTTGGTTTTTTATTTAGTTTTATAAATTTTTCACAATTTTAAAAGTTTTGTATTATGAATTTGATTTAAAATTGTTATACCTTGTCTCTTACCACTGGTGGGGGAGAACTAAGGTGTTTTATTTTTTAGTAACCCTTGTGTTACGAACAAAGGCACTAACTTTTACAATAAAACGGGTTTTTGCAAAATTTTTTTTTGTTTTAGTTACTTGACAGTCACACGGGTCAAGATTTATGTTTTTTAAAAAAACCTCGCAACCTGAGCTTCGATAGCGTGTTGCAAAAATTGAGGTTTCCGTTCGTATATTAGCGACACAAACCGACACTGCGATAGCTGGTTTATAATTGCACTGGGACGAACGACGTTTGGGTTCTTTAAGGATATAACCGTATAAAAAGTTATATCCTACCGGCTGCGCCAATAACAAATTCGGGATTTAACACTTTGAAAAAAATATAATTTTTATTTATCAAAATAGTGTAAACGCGAACTGGGAGAGATAGGTCTGCTCCTTACAAGATTCAACTTAAAACTCAAACTTAAAAACTAAGCTGGCGCTTATCAAACCTTCGATTGGGAGAAAGAACTTTATTGATAAATTGAGAGTGTCCAAAATGAGAGCACTGAGCAAGAGAGCGATCTAGGTTTGAGCTGCGTCTGCAATTTTACAGTATTGGGGGATAAAAGCTTTTTGGAGTTTGGGGACATTTGTTTATAATGCAAGAGGATGTTTACATAAATTGGTCAGTCGTGGGAGCCGACAATTTGGGGTTCTTTCATTTGTTTATAACTCAAGAGGATGTTTATATTAATTGGCGACTCTTGGGAGCCGATGATTTTGGGTGTGACAAATGCGTAATGTAAATATGTTTATGTGGTAGATATGTGGGTGTGTGTATGTTACTTTATGTGGTAGATATGTGGGTGTGGGTATGTTACTATGGGTATGTTACTATATATATTCTTGATCAGCATCTCCAGGAGAGTCGATCTAGCCATGTCCGTCTGTCCGTTAACAGTATAACTTTGCTGTTTCTAATTTTTTTTTGGTCTTTGGGATTTTGTAATATTTCAATACTATTGAATTACGAGTTTAAATAAATTAAAATTGGACATCTATATCATATAGCTCCCATAAGAAAATCAAACAATTAAAAAAATAAATTAAAAAATGTATTTTGGTTTTTTTTTATATATCAAAATATTCCTTTGAGATTTAGTATTTACTATATCAGAATTACACTTTTAGTTTTGTCAAAATCGGATAACGGGCAGAATGGGGCGCAAAATCGACAAAGCTTCATTGTATTTAGTAATATAAGCATAATAATCGTAATGCGTTCTTTTTGTAATAACTGCAAGGGTTTGTAAACTTCGACTTGTCGAAGTTTGCTTCCATTCTTGTTTTTGTACTATTTAGCTTCGCAGGACTACTGAAAAAGAAATCGAAATGAATAGCGCGTTGATATATTTCACAACGCCCCTACTAAAAACTCTTATAATTTCTTTCTAAATTAAAGAGAAATTAAAGAAATTGAATGAGAAATTAAAGATGTTTGCTGTATATTTCCTCTCAGCAATGGATTTTTATGGATTTTCAAATCAACTATCTTACCGGCTGTCTGATAAACTTAACTTCATTAGTCCTCAATTCCTTTCTCCCTTCCAAACCTAGCAGCTGGAAACCTGACTTTTAGTATGCCAATGCTTATTGCGCCGAAATGCAAAAATGGAAAACTTAATATCGACTTCCTCCTTGCTTTTTCACCGACTCACGTCTATTCGGGTGCCCGTTTTCTTTTCAGACATTGAAAAATAAACTGATATTTATAAACGTTTGCGTGGCACAATCCTTCTTGGCTGTCGCGGAGCCCTTTCCGGGTTGTGGATTGTGCAGCTTTTCGGGATATTACTTTAGCACCGAATTGGCTCCCCTTTGGAATACGCGACATTTCCCATGGATTCCCTGACACTCCTCGATAATTTATCATTGAAATGGCATTGACACAATGCGTCCTCCATTTTGGCTCTTTTTTGTTAATGCGTTGGGTGCTTGAATTTGCATAAATTGGTTGTGTTTTCCACCCTCATTTGTATGCCTAAAAGAAAACACTACTCTTGTTGCATGAGATAGGAAGACATACTCTTAAAGTCTAGGATAGTCCTTGCGAAAGCTTCTCCTGTCAGATTTGTTAATATTTATTTACAAAATGCGTTCGTAATCAAACATAATAATTGATGATAGGTCCAAGTTCGACCAGTTAACGCGTTGTAAGCTTCTTATTAACTGATATGTGCTCTTGCAAGAAGCGGAAATGGTCTGCTTGTCTCGAATCTATAATAAGTTTGCTCACATCAAATGCGTTTAATAAAACAGTCGTTGTTTTCCAGGTTGCGTGGATGCACTTTGAGCAGTCGGCGATTCTCACTGTACACAACCATGTGATAACACGTAATCCAAGAATAAGTGTCACCCACGATAAGCACGACAAACACCGGACCTGGTTTCTGCATATTAACAATGTCCAGGAGGAGGACAGGGGTCGATACATGTGTCAGATAAATACGGTTACCGCCAAGACCCAATATGGCTTTGTCAAAGTTGTTGGTAAGTCTTAAACTGACATTGAAAAGCTGTGCTATGTTCCAAGCCTGACCCTTGCATATTTAATTTCATTTGCCAAAATTGCCGCAAGATGTTAGTTTTCCAATACGTTCAGTTTAATCACATCTCTACACATATCTTATCAGTTTGCACCTACAATAAAAAGCCTTATTGTCTTCTGATTTAAAGTCCCATATTTACCTGTCCGTTTATGCATAGCTTTCTAATTTTTAACGTTTGTAAGATATCCTTAAAAGGGGAAACCAACCTCAATGTGCAAAATGTGAGTGCCTTGCGTTCAATCTACAAAATCATCTCCTAATTTGGCTTAGTATCGTTTTCTCGTCCGCAGATTTAAAAGTAAAGTAAATTTTAAACTACAAAATTTCGTCGCTAAAAAAAAGTGTCGAAATGGGACTAAATATTTATGTATAAACAAACAAAGATAATGAAGCTGTTCCGACTTTATAAAGCTAACAGCCGAGTCTATTTAGCCTATTCTTTTTTTGAAAATCTTGATCTTAAAAGCTTTAAAATATGGATTTTTAAAAATTACTGTAATTAGTATTTCTTTCACGGCCAAGGGAATTGATCCAAACTCAAGAATTCAAATAGAATCTCAAACCCAGACTGACAGACGGACATGGCTAGATCGACTCTCCTAGTGATCGGAAATGTTTTCTAAGCTGCGTTGCAAACTTTTGACAGAAATTATAATACTTTCAAGGGTAAAAGGTGATAAGCGGTATTGCAGGGTTTGGTAAGGCTTCGGGATGAGTCTTTTCTTGAGTTGCTGCATAGAGGAACAGTACATACAGAGTTTTAATTTCCTCTGATTCTTACTCTATCCTCAGGAAATTGGTGGGCACCACATCATCCATTAAAGGAAAGATGGAGTTTTTGGGCCATGATTTATCTAACTGATTGTACCTATAAATCCACGAGATCGTTGTCTCCCAATATTTCTGATACCATTATCAGTCCGCCCCTCTTCCAATCCGACAATCATCCTTTACAAATTCGCAAAAAACCAATTTATTTGTTTTTAGTTTTGCTTTATTCCATTCCATTCGCTCAAAAGATATAGCAGGATCGTGTACAATCTACACCGACTTTGAAAATGTCAATTTTTAAGGAGAGCATGCTGGAGTTTTGGACACCCAAAATAAAACGCGCTAACTTACTTACGCTCAACTGCCCATAAGTTTTACTCAGATATATCTAAAATTGTAACACAATATTCTTGAAATGTTGTGCATTTAGAAAAAAAATTTTAAGTAATGCAGAAGAAAACAAGAGAGAACGCTATAGTCGGGTGCCCCGACTATCAGATACCCGTTACTCAGGTAAAGGGAGTGCGAGGGAGATAGAGATAGAAACTTTGATCACGCATAACTTTTTAACGAATGGTCCGATTTGAAAAATTTCTTCTACATTTCTATAGGTATTGATAAACACAATAAAACTGCATTTGTACTTTTCCGAAATATTTAAATTTTTAAAATCGTATAAAAGCGATTGTGGGCGTTAAAGGGGGCGTGGCACCTTTTCCGTAAAAAATAAAAAAATTTTCTCAAATTAACCTCAACAAGAAAAGAAAGCTTACTTCAGGCGGAGCCGAAGTTGATATACCCTTGCAGAATATTATGTACATTCTCCAAAATTATTCATGTGATGCATTCTTAATACTCATAAAAAATCCCAACTTTCTAACTTAACAAACACCAAAGTTATGGCATTTCCGATCAATCAGTTATATGGCGGCTATAGGATATAGTCGGCCGATCATTATGAAATTTGGTAGGTCGGATTGAGTCTCTCAGTTTTAAAGATATCGAATTGAAACTTTGAACACACCCTTCTTTCCTTTGCACGCAGTATATAAGTCGGAACGGCCGAGATCGGCCGACTATATCCTACAGCTGCCATATAACTGAACGATTGGAAATGCCATAACTTTGGTGTTTTTAAAGTTAAGAAGTTGCGATTTTTTAAGAGTATTAAGAATGCATCATATGAATAGTTTTGGAGAATATAATTTACAGAATATTCTGCAACGGTATATCAACTTCGGCTCCGCCCGAAGTTAGCTTTTCTTTCTTGTTTTTCTTTTTTTACTTGTGTTACACAGGAGAAGTTATGTTTAGAACGACTAAAAGTCTTACTCTTTATTGAAAAGTAATTACATTTTTTTTGACATATGAAATATCATCTTAGAACATTTATTTTAAATATTTCGATTTTCCCATGTGCAACTTAACGAGTTCTAAAAAATATTTTAAATTAATATTCTTCGCTAGTCCTTGGTTTTGCCGTGCGTTCTTCACGCGCGACCGTGTCTGAATTCGATGTCTTTGAACTCACGCGCGGTAGACCTGGGTTCGAATCCCACAGACGGACTAATAAAATTATCAGTTTTTTCTCTTAGAGATACTTAAAGAACTGAAATAAATCATAATGATACAAATTTTCTCTTCCCCCCACAGAAGATATTGGCAATTCATTAGTACAATACTAATACATACTTTGTGACTTTTCTGAATAAAAAGCGAAATGCTTAAATCATATTCATGTAAAATTTATTATAGAGTATAGGTTTATTATTATAAACACGATTATGTATATAGCCGAACAGGTAAATGATATTAATTAAGATTCCAAATGACCGACAGAAACTCGCGGATCATTTGACAACTTTCAACTTATTACGACTTCTGTGACGGTCTTCTTCGACTTGCTTCTGTTACTACTTCTTCTATACTCTTATTCGGCGCTTCAAACGTCTTATCTGTCCAAATTTAGCAAATTTGCAATGGGTGGGAATGATAGGTGGTGTGAGTCAAGGATGGGTGTGTCAACTTGTGAGGTGATTGTACCGATGCATTGTACCTTACCTTCGACCATCCTGCTCATCATCTGACCCAGATGATCTATCGTCCTCATCGTATTCGTCTTCGCTACAACCAAAGTAACGCCATAATTTCATGGAATCAGCAGCGGTTGACGTCTGATTTGGGCCTGGAAACTCCGCAGATTTTTGAACGTCATATCGACCGTTCCGCTTTACGTTGATGATTTCTTAAGGTCCTAAAAATTTGTTTGACAACTTTTTCCCGTTGACGAATTGAGTCACTCTAATAGCAACTAAGTCACCTAATTGATAACTGTGGGGGCCTTTCCTCTTTTTGTCAAAGTTCCGCTTGTACGTTTGTTGCGCTTTTTCGATCTGGTTTCTGGCTTCTGCTCTTATTCGGTTGCGTTCGTCTTGAACGCCTCTTGAAGGATGTTGACCAAATCTGCATCCGACTCGTTTCTCATCTTAATTTCAAACAAAATTTCATATGGAGTAAATTTTGTTGAGGAGTGAACGTGTGCGTTGATCGCCCTTTGCACCTGAGAAGTAAATTGATACCATTTCGATGGCTCGGCGGTTGACATTTTTGACAATACAGAAATGATAACCCTGTTACCTCTTTCAATCTGCCCATTTGCTCTGGGGATCCCTGTAGTATTTTCGACGTGTTCAATCTTCCCGACAGCAAAGAACTCCTTGAAAGGTTTAGACGTAAACGCAGTCCTCTTGTCACTGATGATACGTTGAGGGTTTCCCATGAACTAAGAACAAAGATGTTTTTCATTAGCGTCAGTCGATTTAGTGGGATATATCCAGATATACTTTGAAAAGCCATCAATAGCTGCGAATATATATTTGTACTTCCTTGCCAATATAACTAAGGATCCTAGATGATCGACGTGGAGGGTTGATAACGGCTTATCTCCCTTGTCTATGCAATGCAAATAATCTTCTTGTTTTCCGAGTTTTCTGTTGTGGGTTATACACTCGATGCAGTTTGCAATAACGTCCGTCACTTTTTTGTTGAAGTATGAAGTACTCCTGTTGAATTGCATGCTTTGTTTTTTCTGATCCCATGTGACCAAAATTATGAGCTGTTCGAATAATTTCCTCTTTCATACACCATGGAATAGAAAGCAACTCTGCTCCGGCAACATGTTTGTAAATTAAGTTATTTTTCATCGTGTATTGTGCATAGGGCTTTTCCTTCAGGATCTCTGCTACGGCTGATAGGTGCTCATCTTTTTTCGGTGCCCTTACAATTTGTGACTGCACTTCTGATGTGACGATCATGACTGGGAATCGACTAAACTATCTACATGCTTCATTTTGGTGTCAGGACGATGTTCTATTTTGAACAAAAAATCTTGAAGGTACATAAGGCACTGTACTACTTCACGAGGGACGTCTTTCTTTGTTGTTGTCATCTTAAAGACAGCACAGTCAATGACGAGTTTAAATTCGATCCCCATAAGATATTGTCTCATCCTTTGGGTTGCTAAATAGGCGGCTTTCACTTCTAAGAAATAGTTATGTAAGAAGAGTCTTCCTGTGGCGTTGTCTTCTTGGTCCAGTACATAACAGGATGCCACTTGTTGTCATGCTGCTGGAAAAGTGTTGCCCCAAAACCATCCTTCGACACGTATACGTGCAGCTGTTCTTTGCATTCTGTTTGAAAATTATTAGGACGGGCTCGCTTGTTAAAGACGCCTTCAGTTTTTCTACAGCTCGAATCTGCAAACTATCGATTTTAAATTCTGCGTCTTTCTTTAGGAGTTCGGTGAGTGGTCTTGCCATTAATGCATACATTTTCTGAAATACCCCGTCAGTCCAAGAAAAGCCTGTACTCCTCTTATATTTTTGGGTATAAGAAAATTTAGCTCAGCTTTAATTTTTTCATGGCCTGGCCAAACATGTCCATTTTCTATTTTGTGTCCCAAAAAGCTTATCTTCTCCTTTAAGAATTGTCATTTTGACCATTTAATTTCCAAGGCAATCTTTTCACCTTGCTTTAAAACGATCTGCATTTTTTTAAGGCATTGCTCCGCTGAATAATCAAACACAACTATGTCATCTACGTATATCTCCATTATGCCATCATTTATTAACTGATGGAAGAAAGATTTAACATATCTAACGAAGACTGTCG